ACTGACTGATGATGCAATGTCAAAGCCAGGGCCAGGGCCAAGCTCAACTCCGAGCAGCAAGAACCAGGACACTTTCCTCTGCTCACTGCAGGCGCCTGACTCAGACTCCGGCCCCCTTCGAATCAGGATGGCCATAAATGTCCACGACACATCAGTGTCCGACGCAGCGCTAGCCCTGTGGGCGGAGAACTCGGTTATCAGCCTGAAGCTATTCAGAACATTGAAGCAAAGACACCAGAGCCTCCCATACATCTCAAAACAGCCGCTTCCCTCTCAGCCTCTGGTTGACAACCATGGCTACCTCCAAGATCATCTGCGCTGTCGACATACGATGGAACAACAGACACCTGAGTCACTACTGCCTCGTTGTCCCCAACCTACCTCATGATAATTGCTGAACAGTGGTATGGATGAAAAATGGGAAGTATGTACAATACTCGCATTAAGAAACTTTATAGAAGTATTAACAAAATCTGGCAAGGATGTATCCCATGTGATACCAGAAAGAATGTAATTTATGCACAAAAAAGGAAACGTACGGGGCGTGGCCCCTCCCTGCAACTGATCTCTGACTGGAACAATCGCTTCAGGGATGGACCAACTCGACTGGCTTAAAACCAGATGGCTCTTTCACTCGTTGCTCGCTGCTTCTTCTCGCCGTGTTAATAGCACTCCAACTTGTGCTCACACGCTCACCATCACGAGATCGGGCCATCCAGAACTCAACCACTCCGTTGAAGCTTCGTAACTCTGCAGAACTCAAAGTCTTGCCAAATCAGACTCTCTCAGAAGAACTTCGAGGCTCCTCCGTAACCCGGCAACCAACCAATCACCACCGAGGGCTCTCCCAAAAGGACGTCATCCAGACGTCATCTCAACAACCAATCCGAAGCTCCAGGATTCCCTCAGGCAACGACTTAAGACCCTTTCAGCTCTCAACTCAAACGCAAGTAACAAACAAAGTCTTCTATCTGCTGAAATCGGTGCTGAATTGATCTTACGTAGTAAAGATAAGACAAATCTCTGCTTTGTGATTTTCTCAGGTTGCAAGTAAAGAACTGTAGCGAATATCTTGCTAAAACTTTGGGATTTCTTTCGAACTCCATTAACTCTCATTCTTCAGAACTGTATGTGTGTGTGTGTGTGTGATTTCATTAGTTTTAGATCCATGTAATCTTGTTGGTTTAGATGATTTAACAAGTTTATACAATTCTTCCTCTCCTATAGTAGAGAAGAATTGTATAAACTTGTTAAATCATCTAAACCATCTAAATCATCTAAACCAGTTTTAGATCCATGTAATCTATAGAAGTAGTTCAAAATAAATTCTTGTTTCATTTATAAAGAATCATTGTCTTGTGTCGTGAATTAAAAATTAACTTTATCTTACATATGGTGGAGAATGCAGGCAAAGAATTTGACTTATAATTGATAACACTGAGACATTGTGTTGAATCTTTTCTATTTTTATCCGGAAAAATAGATTAAAAGACAGAGAAACAGAGTTTGTTGTGTTACTACTTTATTGTGGCATACCAGCGTGTTGAATGAATGAAGTGAAACTCGAGTTGTTGTTTTAAGTTAAACTGCAGTAAAACATTTAAGAATTGTCCACCGAGACAAAATAAGTGAACCAACTAAATCATTGTTACCTGGAGGGGAGTTTAACGGTAGTTTGAGGGACAGTATGGACTATGCGCTGTTGTTATGTGGCTCTCCTTTTACTGTGGGAGAAGCAGAGTCTCTGCCAATCCAGAGACTTTTTGCAAGATGGCTGCCATTCCTGAGTCTCGTCCCGTCATGGCCGCCGTTCCTGAGTCTCGTCCCATCATGGCTGCCGTTCCAGAGCCTGCTCACGTCAAGCCTGCTAAGCCAGAGCCTGCTCATATCGAGCCTGCTCATATCAATCCTGCCAAGCCAGAGCCTGCTCACATCAAGCCTGCCAAGCCAGAGCCTGCTCACGTCAAGCCTGCCAAGCCAGAGCCTGAGCCAAGTCAAGTCACAGCTGATATTCCTGAGTCAAGTCACGTCACTGCTGCCATCCCTGAGTCAAGTCAAGTCTCAGCTGATCATCCAGAGTCACGTCACGTCTCAGCTGATCGTCCAGAGTCACGTCATGTCACGTCTCAGCTGATCGTCCAGAGTCGCGTCATGTCTCAACTGATCGTCCAGAGTCTCATCACATCCTGTCTGTTGCACCCAGATTTTCGAGGTCAGTTATTCAGTATCCCTGTCTGGCATCTAGCATGGAGGATCCACCGCTGGTGTCAGCACATGCAGCTGGTATCCCTAAACCAGCGCTCTCAGACCTTCCTGTTCCTGAACTGATTCCCCTGTCTGTAGCGCTTCCCACAATGGGGATCGCCTTATGGTGTATTTGGGCTGCATACGCCACCACTGAAACTCTAGAAATGGCGGCGCCCACTAAGATGTCTCCAGAGGTGGCGGCTGACGCTGCAGAACTTCCCGAAGTAGTGGCGCTCGCTGCTGTGTCCCCCGAGGCGATGGCGCCCACTGCAGCTTCTCTAGAGGTGGCGGCGTATGCTGCAGAACCTCCCAAGGCAGCGGCGCTCATTTCAGCTCCTTGCGTGGTGGTGGCGCCCAGCAATGCACTCTCAGTCTGTCATGTCATGGTCAAAAGAACCATTGTTGAACTCTATACCTGTCCTGTGTAGGATCTCTGTCTTTGAACGGAGACACTTACACGATTGAGTCACACCTGAAACAACCACATTCCATTCAGACCAACTGAGGCACTCCTCTGCAACCAGCTGCGGTCGTAAAACTCATGCAGGGTCAGTGAAGGGTTGAAGCAGTTCCTGTCCTATTTAGCGTATCTCTCAAGAGGCTCAAATAAAAGACAGTGCTTAATCCTAACTCAAACTAGGATACAAACTATCTTTGTTTTACGGGCTTTCAAGGACCAGATGCGTGATACCCCTGACCATTTAACACATAAATTGCTAAATCCGATGGATATTCAAATTGTTAAAATATACTAAGAATCACCGGCTCGCTGGACGACCCTTGATTTAAAGTGTAAACTATCAGATTTGAATTCAGCTTTAATCAGGTTGATTCAGGATTTTCAGATTTGAGTCCTTTTAAAACCTGAATGAATTAATAATAATTAATTCCCTTACAAATGAGTAATTTCATTACACCTGTTAAGGAGAATGTTAATGAATTCTCCTTGTTTCCTGATGCTTCTTTCACGACTGCAAGCGCTGTCTCGGAACTCTCTGTGTTTGTTGAAACTCCTGATGCTATGGCTTACACATAACACACTAATACGCTTCTAATATTCAAATCCGTTAAAGGATTTTTAGGCTGCATTAATTAGGTCAACCGGAACCGGGAACACTTCCCATAACACCCGATGTACTTGCTACATCGTTAGAAGAATGGCATCTACGCTAATATTAGTCTGTTTCTCTCTTATTCCAAGGTCACCGCTGCCACCAGATCCAGTCTGTATCAGATCAGATGGTCACTGCAGTCACCCAGATCCAGTACATATTCAGACCAGATGGTGAATCAGCACCTAGAAAGGACCTCTACAGCCCTGAAAATATAAATAAAGGTGACTTGACTTGACTTGACTACTGCTGTAGAACCTCCAGAGGTGGCGGCATCGGCTGCAGAACCTCTAGAGGTATCAGTATCAGTGGTATCCACTTATCAGCTCTCTACCTGCCCTGTTATGGCTAAGAAGGCCGTTTCTGAAACCTCAGTCTGCCCTGTTACGGCTATGGAGGCCGTCTATAAACTCTCTGCCTGTCCTGTCGCGGCTATGGAGTTCGTCTGTGAACTCTCTGTCTGTCCTGTCACGGCTATGGAGGCCGTCTGTGAACTCTATGCCTTTCCTGTCACGGCTATGGAGGCCGTCTGTGAACTCTCTGCCTCTCACGTCTACAGAGGCCGCTTGTGAACTCTTGCCTTGTTCCAAACCGACCACGGAGGCAGCTTATGAACTTTTGTCCTGCTCTGAACCAGTCGATGCAACAATAATGCAGGTACATACTTTGCTAATTAATCTGTTTTTCATTACTTTCAATGGTTCTGATTATGAACTGTCAGTCTATCCAGAATCAATCCATGAATCTGTTTCTGAATTATCTGCCTGTCCCATTTCCCTCAATGAGCCTGATGTTGAATCACCTGTCTGTTCCGATCCCATCGACAATTCTGAATTAGTACTATCTGCCTGCCCAGTATCAGTCCATGAGTTGTTTGTCAGTTCAGTTCCAGTCAATGCTTTTGAAGAGTCTTTTCACACTATCTCTGCCAATACATCCAGTTTTGAACTGTCTACATATCCTGCCTCAGTCAACGAGTCTAATTCTGAACCATATGTCTGTCCCGTTTCGACCAAAGAGCCTGATTTTGAATTGCATGCCTGTCCAGTTTCAGTCAGTGAGCCTGTTTATGAACTGTCTGCTTGTCCAGTTTCAGTAAGTGAGCCTGTTTATGAACTGTCTGCTTGTCCAGTTTCAGTAAGTGAGCCTGTTTATTAACTGTCTGCCTGTCCTGTTTCAGTCAGTCAGCCTGTTTATGAACTATCTGCCCGTTCAGTGGTCACCAGGGAAACTATTGATGAACTTCTTGTATTTCCTGCCTCAGTCCTGGAGACACTGTCTGTCTCTTGTGTCTCAGATTTTCCTAGGCCCCAATCTCTGCCATGGGTTTTTGATCAGTCTGGGGTGTGTTTCCCAAAAACAACTATGGTCACAAGTTCTGTCGTTACCAATAGAGTTCAGTGGAACTTACCTCCATAGTTAGCTAACGATACTTTTGGGAAACGCAACCCTGGTCCGTCGTGGTGGTCTTCAACTACGCTCTGGTGGTTTTCAGCTCCTTCTGCTCCGCCATGGTGGTCTTGAGCTGTGCTCTGGTGGTCTTCTGCTCCGCCGTGGTGGTCTTCTGCTCCGTGGTGGTGGTGGCCACCTGCTCCACTGTGGGTATCTTCAGACACGTCTGCTCCACCCTGGTGGTCTTCGGCTCCACCTGCTCCGCCGTGGTGGTTCTCGGCTTCGCTCTGGTGGTCTTCAACTCCGCCTGCTCCACCGTGGTGGTCCTTAGTCCTGCTCTGGTGGTCTTCAGCTCCGCCTGCTCCACCCTGGCTCCCTGCTCCACCGGCTCTGCCTCAGTTCTTTGTTCTTCCACTTCCACATGGACCTGGCCCTCCATCCCTCCCCCTGTTCCACCTCTGCTCCACCTCCCTGCTGGACTACCACCTCCCTTTAGTCTATTCTGTTTGGAGCGTCTGGAAGCCGCTCCTTGGTGGGGGGCTCTGTCACGAACTCTAGCTGGAGTGCCTATGAGCTTCGCTAGAGGGCACTCCATTCCAGATTCTTGCCCATTTCCCATAATCCTTTGCCCGGACTAATCATCAATTGCAATCACCTGTCTCTCATCACCTCATCAGTCTCGCACTATAAGAACACACACACATGCTCCAATCGCTGGTGATTGAATGTTTAGCCCTTCCGTGTTTCATAGTTTCCATGTTCCTAAGTTTTGCCTTTCTCGTGTTTTGATCCTTGGACTGTTACCTTGTTATTGACTGACAGCTGCCTGCCCTGATCATTGCCTGTCTTGTTGGATTACTCTTTTGTCTGTGCCTTGGATGTTATTGTTTGCTGGTATCTGACCCTGCCTGTCCTGACTACGCTCTTTTTAATAAAGCCTGCTATTGGATCCCCACTTTGTTGTCACAACGCCTCTATCGTTATAAATCTATGGTACACTATTAAGAAGTGCTAACCTGCAAATGTTATCTTAGAGAGCTATTTCTACCTCATCTAACCTTTAAATTGTATTTTATCACAGTAACCTAATGTATATATTAATTAGGTTAATATTTATTTTTCAAATAAATTAGATGTTACCATATGAAAAATTTTACATATTCAATGAAGAAAAACACTTAAAGGGACTTAAATGCTTTACTCAAATGAAAACATTTTCATCATCCTCATGACAGTACGTATATGTTGGTTTTGTCTAATACATAAAGGCTGCAACACACCAGTTTTTGTTCCATGCTGAGTTCTACAGTCGAAGCATCTCTTTATAACATATACACAATGTAAATAATAGATTGATCGTGCAGTGTAGAGAGATTCATTGGTCATAACAGAACTTTGTGAGATCGCAATGAGGAGTGACAGCTTGTTAGTGATTATAAAGGGAGCGTTCTTTGCAAGCTTTCTAGGCTATATAATCCATTCAAAATGCAAAACTTTTGTTTTTTCGGCCACACATACTTTGCAAAGTTTCAGGAATGATATCCGCATATTTATGCGGAATTCACTCTCGAAATAGCAGTGACTGACATAGTGATAACCATTGCAATGGATGGGGCAAAATATGTGAAAATGTGCATTAAGACTAGAGCACCAGTGTTGGGGGTAACTCATTACAAGTAATGCGAGTTACGTAATCAGATTACTTTTTTCAAGTAACTAGTAAAGTAACTCATTACTTTTTTAATTTACAAGAAAATATCTGAGTTACTTTTTCAAAAAAGTAATGCCAGTTACTTTGTTTTCCCATTTATTGACTGACATTATTGCTGAAGAGTGTTTCTTCTCCTGCGTTCTACTGTACAGACGTGAATTTACTTTTGCTTCAGCCTGGGGTTTATTCATTACACTTTTTGGTGTGAAAGGGCATTTACATTTGCTCTAAATAGAACTTCTTATATTAAAAACAATCAAGCCCTGCTTATATTTAAAAAGTAACGCGAAAGTAACGCGAAAGTAACGCAAAAGTAATATAACGCATTACTTTCCATAAAAAGTAACTAAGTAACGTAATTAGTTACTTTTTTAGGGAGTAACGCAGTATTGTAATGCAGTACTTTTAAAAGTAACTTTCCCCAACACTGTAGAGCACCCTCACTAATTTCAGAAGCACCTTCAGTGATTTATTTGTGGAATTGGGAACTATATACAATACATTGTAGAACTATATACAAAAACAACAAAATATAAATGCACTAAATAAAATAATTTAATAAATGCATATCTGCATTTATATGCATACACTTAACTCAAATAAGTATTACATAATAAAATAAATAACTAAATAAGGCTGATAATCAGCTTGCTTCCATTCAGTGGGATAAGCCTACTCTTCACCTGAATTAAAAAAGCTCTTGGTCTTAAATGATGCAGGTACAACGTTTGAGTGTGCACATGCAATATCTGAGTGAGAGCAGAGCCAATTCATAAGAGAACATTGTCTATTCAAAAGCATTTTGTGTGAGCAAAGTTTTGTGTGAGCAAAGGAAATGCTTGCGAGTGGAGAGAATCGTGCTAGCGCATTACATGGATGTGATATTGCGTTACATTACTGCACTCTTGACATTTGTCAGTAAGTTAATGCTATAGAAACTGCCTAAAATTAGATAAGTATATAGAAGTATGTCATGATCTACAGTGTCGAACGCAGTAAAACTAATAATGAGATGCAGCCTTGATCTGACACAAGAAGCAAGTCATAATTTTAACAAGTTCAGTTTCTGTGCTAAGATGGGGCCTGAAAGCTGACTGAAATTCTTCATAGATATCTTTTTTTTTTTCCAGGAAGGAGCACAATTGAGCAGACACAGCTTTTTCAAAAATTTTAGATATAAACGTAATATCTAATATGGGTCTGTAATTTGCCAGTTCACAAAGATCTAGTTGTAGTTTCTTAAAAAACACCAGCTTGAAGGGTTTTGGGACGTGACCTAGAGATAATGGCGAGTTAATAATATTGAGAAGCTGTTCTTCTGCAGTAGGTAACAACTCTTTCAGTAATTTAGTGGGTTCAGGATCCAATAAACCTGTTGTTGGTTTAGATGCAGTGATAAGTTTATTTAGCTCATCCGTCCTATAGTTGCAAAGCACTGCAATTTTTCTTTGGGTGCAACGAATGAACCTATGAATGATTCTACGTTAGTTATTGTATTTCTGATGCTATCTATTTTATCAGTGAAGAAATTCATAAAGTCATTACTACTAAACTGTGAGGAAATATTTAGATTGGGCGACATCTGATTACTTGTTAATCTAGACACTGTGCTAAATAAAAACCTTGGATTGTTTTGGTTATTTTCTATAAGTTTGCAAATATGCTCGGCCCTGGCAGCTTTTAGAGCAGGGGTCTCCAAACTCGATCCTGGAGGGCCGGTGTACTGCAGAGTTTAGCTCCAACTTGCCACAACACACCTGCCTGGAAGTTTCTAGTATGCCTAGTAAGAGCTCGATTAGCTGCTTCAGGTGTGTTCAATTAGGGTTGGAGCTAAACTCTGCAGGACCAAATTTGGAGACCCCTGTTTTAGAGCCTGTCTATAGCTGGGCATACTGTTTTTTTCACATAAATCAAAAAACTTCCACGTTTTCTCCATTTGCGCTCAAGATTACGAGTTTTTTTTCCTTGAGAGAATGGGTATTACTGTTGTACCATGGTACAGTACGTTTTTCTCTAACCTTTTTAATTTGACGGGGGCAACAGCTTCTAATGTATTAGAGAAGATAGTGTCCATATTGCTAGTCATTTCATCTAGTTCATGTGCATTTTTGGCGGCCCTGGCGGTCTACACACGGTAGCCAGAACAAGAGTTAGGAGAGGTTTTTTTTTTCTGCATATCTGACAGTGTAACATTAAAGGTGCAGTAGGAGATCTTGGAAAATGCTAACTTTGGCCTGATAGCACTGAAAGCGAACGTCCCACCCTCCCTGCAATCACCGTCCAAAGCCACGCCCCCTGAACGCATATACACTCACAGACCAGAAAACCAGAAACAACATTACTACAATAGGCTACATCAGCGGTTCCCAATTCCAGTCCATGTTCCGAAGTGAAGTAAACTTCAACGGATTTCCCCTGCTCAGAGAATAGGGAGCAATGAACACTGTGTAGGGATCATATCGATCAGAACACAGTTCATGCACATAGCTCTCTTCTAACGTGCTGGTTATCTGAATCGGGTGTGTTAACTAAGCGAGACACGCAAAATATGCAGAGCGGGGGAGCGCGAGGACTAGAATTGGGAACCGCTGGGCTACATTATGTGTCATTCCCCGGTGAGAAAACTTTAAAAGTACTACAATACCAGGAAGGAAGATCGGGTTGTTGATGTTTGTCTGCCATTCTCGCTCTGTCTGCACAGCGTGCGTGAATGTGCTGATGACGTATCCTGTCTGCGCAAACTGGGTGCGCAGAGGTATGTTAATACAAACGTTGACAGGCAGGTAGGAAAGTGAATTAAAAAGCTCGGACCGAGCGTTTTGATTGAACGAATGTTTCTTTGTCCTACGCCTTCCACAGAATATATAAATACAGATAAAGACATTTAGACCACTTAACTTAATGATTGCTATCGGGATGTGAAGAGACTTTCAACCAGCGTAACAAAAATGTTTCTGAAGACAATCACCTATTGCACCTTTAAGCATAAGTATTTTGAATGAGTTAAACCTGTATCCTGTTTTCTGAGTAACATTGAGAATATCTCTGTATATTGTTGCAACACCGTTGCCACGACCAATCCGACAGGGCTTATGCTTATAACAGTAGCTTGGTGGAGTAGACTCATTTAGACCAATATAGTCATTTGGTTTAAGCCAGGTTTCAGTCAAGCAGAGTACATCAAAACTATTATCTGTGATCATTTCATTTACAATAACTGCTTTGGCTGTGAGTGATCTAATGTTTAGGAGCCCAAGCTTTAAAATTTGCTTTTGTTCGTTTATTTTGCATTTTTCTCTGCCATGCAAATCAACTGTTCCTGCTCATTCCCAGACTGGACCTCTTCTCTCCACTTTCCCTAATTACAGATTCAATTATTAGATTTGTCAGTATTAATATTTTTATGCTTAGATTTTTTGGGGGGATCAAACTGTAACACCGTGTGTCCCAACCAGACACGACGCGATCTTTAAAAAGTATCTTTT